AAATTGCCTGTAGTTCATTTGCTGAAATAGTTATATGTTTCCTGCCAGCTTTTGCCTTGCCCCTGATCAGTCTTGCTGCAGTCATTATTTCATACTGCAAAAGATCAAGCCAGCTTTAGTTCCCATGTGCTCAGTGGGGTTTGCCAGAGCTCTGTGGAGCACTCGGCTGGAGATGCTGGTGTAGGTACAACTGGCATTCCTTATCCTGTCACAGTGCTGCCAGATACCACATATCCGTCTTAAGAAATTAAATAGGTGGACAAGAACTATGAAACACTTCTGGAAATGGTGATGGCTTTTCGCGAACTGCAGAGACTACAAGGAAGTTCAGAAGAGGTGAACCAAAAGAAAAAGGAATTAATCTGTTACGGGCGGTGGTGATTGTGTTTCATGTGTAGCTGGGTTATTTTTGTTTTTATTTATTTACATGATCTGTTTCAATATGCAATTTAAATGAAGTTACACGCAGGAAAATTCTCCCACCATTAAGAAACCAAAGATGGCATGGTGGGATGACTGGGCCAATGAACATTTTGTATAATATTGAATCAAAACGAACACTTTTTAGAAGTCCACAGAACTGAGCTAGATTTTTCACGAGAGTTCTGAGGTGCCAGTAGGAAAAGTGGGCAGCAACGTTCTTCAGTGGTCTCTCTACATGGAGTAGAACAGCACGCATGATAGCACCTGGTGTGTGCTATGTGCACTGTAGTTTGCTTACTACTTCCAAACTGTATCCCTCTTATAAAAGAATAAAGCCCCAAAGGTCTCCTTATGCACAACTCAGTATGGAAGTCCAGTGAGCTCAGCAATCGTCTTTTTGCACTTTCTATATTTCAATCCCATTTCACGTGCTCCAGGACACTGCTGACACACGGTGAACAGCTATGAAACTTAGCATAGGCACGCCTAACGCCAGTACAATCATAAGGGCAAATAACCCGTGAGCACCGTGAGCTCACTGGGAGTCCCACTCAGATTAGAGGAATACCTCCAAAGTTAGTAGAGGAATACCTCCAAATACCCCCAAAGTTTCATGAAGCCAGTGTGGCATTTTATATAACAGCATTTCCTCAGCATTTCTTGGATGGAGCTGCTGTAGTCCTGCCTTGTGTTGGAGCCCTCAGAGCTGCTGCGCTCCGGGAGGGAGGAACACAATGGATTGGAGGGGAGGGAGCAATGAACTTTGAACATACCAGAGGGTCATCATTTAAAGGAGCTGGGGTTTCCTTCTGACAGTGTGTGCTTCTAAACTCTTCTTCACTACCTTTTCATATTGCTCATGAAATATGATAGTAATATTGCTGTTCACTTTTGCTTTATGCAGTTCTAAACCCTTCGAATCCACTTCTATGCAGACCAGGAGAGAGAAAAATGCCTTTTATTAAGTGGCACTCTTTTTGTTCCAGTTTCCCTGGTTATGCTTATTACCTTGGCTGCTATGTGTGCTTGGCTCTCTCAAGTCATTCTTCTCTAGTGTGGTGGTGATGCGGGACAACCAGATGGCATCCACAACCCTGGTTTAGAGGTCTTTCTCCTCTTGGCTGGGCAACCCTAGTAACTGAAGTCAAGGAAGCTCTATTGTGCACTGAGGAATGTGGTGGGAAGCTGCTGTGCCCTTCCTAGCACACTCGCAGTTGGCATGAAGGAACGGGGGGAGCAAAGACCGACTTATTTGAAAGATCCCTCCATCGTCTTCCCACAAAGCCTAACACTGCGTAGCAAGTGTCATACCTGCTCCGCTGGCTGACAGCGGCAATTTGTATTTCGTTTTGCCCAAGCCAACCCACAGAGCTTACATAAGTGTCTTTCTGTCCCATTCCATGTCAGACCAATTTTATATTTAAATCCCAGTGCTGTGTGATATTGCCTAATCAGATTAGAGAGCGTGTACCAAGTATCTTTACTGCTGTGTCGTCAATGCTTGTAGGCTGTTGTATGTAAGTCATAGTTCCTGAAGTACTGCTGTGTATGAAGAACGTGGATTGGAGTTTAGAGGTTACTTCTATTGTAATTTATTATTATTGTGTCTTAGGCTTGGGCAAAATTATTTTCCACAGCATAGAAAAAAAACTACTTGCAAGCCTATGGAATGAAAGTGCTTTTTTCATTGGCTGATGCGGATTTGTTCTATCACCATATATGCCCAAACATCCATGCGCTGACACCACTGCCAGTAAAATCTCTGGCACAGTCTCCAAATGAAATAATGGCATCAGCAGCAGTAGAGCGGGAGAGATGCAAACAGGGCAGTTGCCACCTCCATCTTCTCAAAACGAGCCTCTGCCCAGTCTCTGGGCTTGTCACTGCCTGAGGTTTCTGGATACGTGTGGTGTGTGCAGTGGGGTGCTTGCCAAAGGTTGTGCTGTACGGTGAAGTTAAGCACATCACGTGTGATTATTTGAACTACTGCCTTCAATCTCTTTGAATATTAAAGCGCAGCGCCAGGCTGCCTGCCAAACCTCCCTTACCCCGGACATAAAAACACATGCACGCTTGCTAGGGTGTCCTGTGAAGCCTTACATTTGGCATTACGGTAGTAGTGAAACAGGTTTGGGTGTCTTTCTCCAGGAAGACTTGCAAAATCCCACCTTTTTTTTATTCATGAAGATTTTCCAGCTAACCCTCCAGTTTGTATTTGTCTCTTAATACTTTGTTCAACGGAGACTTTGATGCAGACCCAGAAACCTCCAGAGCCTGATAAGGCTGGAAAAGGCCCGGCAGAGCCTGTTTGCAGATACAAGGAGGTAAATCCATATTCTCATTGCCCCAATCCAGCTCGGAAATTCAGTACAGATCCTTTCCTGCTGTGCCAGCTGCGAGGTTGAGTTTCTCCCTCTTTATAAGACAAACAAGAGATGTACATTCATGTATCTCCATCATGTTGGCTTATTTGGTGTTTTTTTATATTGGTTTGGGTTTCTTTTTCCACGTCATGTTGGCTTATTTGGTGTTTTTTATATTGGTTTGGGTTTCTTTTTCCACCCACTTGGAAGCTCTGGCAGGTGATGGAGCACAGGCCAAATGTAAATTACAACAATATTTAGCCTAGTGCAGAACCTGCTAATACTACAATAGCCTTAACTTTGTGCAGCCTGTGTTGGCCAAGAAGAAACACTGTCAGTTCTGGATCTTAGCAGCAGGTGGAGCTGGCAAACTGCACGTGTGGCTGTGCTGCCTGGGGCTTTCTGCTCCATCAACTCTCCGAAGTGCGTGTCATCGGCGAAGTCAAAGTTTCGATCTCTGTTTGCTCGTGTTCAAGGAAATGGTCAAACTTCTGACTGCACCCAGAGGTGATGGGGTGTTAGACGCAAAATCAGAGCGGCTTGAGTTGGAGTATGGACAGCTAAACCCGTGGTTTCATGAAGGGGAGATATCTGCCCACAGAAGGACTTGTGAGGACGTGAAAGTGCATCATCGATGGAGTTTCCATTTTTGAGTCCCATCTGGAAATGGAACACAGAGGAAGGTTGCAACCATGATCCTTGTTTCTCTCCTCACCCTGGTGCACCTACAGCTGATTCTTCTTTGGCTTCCAACTGAAACATTTTTTCTTTTTTTATATTGTTGGATGTGGCCTTATAATAAGCATCATAATCATGTAGTGATCTGAAATGAGAAGTTGAAAAAACCCATTGTTTATAACAGAGTCTTTACACGTTGGAGTTTTTATGTGTAACATAATTTACAGTTAGAAGTGAATGGCTAATAATCCCAATCTTCCTTTACACAAACCTGTAAATAAAAGTGTTGCTGATCTCTGCATGGTCACGTTGCCAAACATTGCCATAAGATGTAGCTTCATGCCGGCAAAGCATTTCTTTTGCTGCAATCTCTGGTTTGAGGAACAGTGACTGGCAGGTGGTAAAAGATGTTATTAAGAGGATTTAGATGATAAATCTATTGTGAATGGGCATATGGCAGGCGTGCAACAGACACTAATTTGCTGGGTTTTTTCCCCAACTGAAGTGTTGCTGTGGAAGTTTGCTGGAGTCACATGTACTTCAGAGTTGACTGGAATATCCCAGGTCATCTTCATAATGCTATTTGCTGCCTTGATTTTTCCTTTCTCTGTTTAAGTTTTGAAAATTTGTATAGTATCAGTAATGCTTTTTGAGAGGGTGCAAGAATGCAAACCATGGTCGGAAACAGAAACTTATTGCAGCCTGCTGTCTTACAGCGCTTATAATTTAAGCCATAGTGAAACATTTGTCTTGTATTAGCAGCTAATTATCACCACATGTAAAACTTTGCATCATTACCCAGGATTAAGTCCTGTTGCTTAGTCTGGTTTATTGTTTAATTCCTTTGGGAGTATTTTAGAGAAAGGTGTTTTAGATAAGCGCATGCTGTTCATAACATTTTTTAATTTACTCTTAAAGGTGGCAAGTGCTATTTCTTGAGAACCACAACTTGTAAATAAAACAACTTGGAAATAAAGGAACTTTACAATCATGGGAATTCCCTTTTACATTTTTTAATGCAGAATGATTAAATGGGACAGTTTCATTGCCCAAGTTCTAAGCTGTTTTATCTCTACTGCGCTATCAAAAAGAAACCTCATTACTGACTTATATATCCATACGTCTCATCTGGCCTGTACGCTACATACAACACAGTGCTGCATTTAGAATTGTTTCTGTAAACTCGTAAGACATCTATAGGGTGAAAAATAATAACTGGCTTGGAGATTGTTTCGGAGGATGCTGTTAGTTCTGCCCTGCTTCCTACTCAGTCAGTAAGAAAAAATCCAAAGGGCAGAGCCAAGCTTTTTGATGAGACACCCATGTCATGCAGCCCTTTTGGCAGCAAAATGCCTGGCCACTGTATGTCTTCAAGTTGCCCAAAGCCTGGCTGAAGCGAATCTGAATTCTGTGACCTTGTGTTTTACAGGTTGATCCAGAGGCCAGTACGGGCTTGCAGGGTAGCTCCCGAACCACCCCAGAGATTTGGGGGTGCCGTGTTTCTCCCACCGAAGCCGGACCTCCCCAGTTGGGTCACCCCGAGCCGCAAAGCTGCTGTCGACGTGGACTGGTGCTGACATCTCCCGCCCGGCCGCTGCCAGAGCCTCGCCAGCGAAACCCAGAGACATGGCAACCAACGGTACCAAAGTGGCGGACGGACAGATTTCCACTGAAGTCGATGCTTCCATCACCAATGACAAGCCTAAAACCTTGGTAGTAAAAGTGCAGAAGAAGAAGACGGATCTTCCAGACCGAGATACCTGGAAAGGGAAATTTGACTTTCTTATGTCCTGTGTAGGTTATGCCATTGGCTTAGGGAACGTGTGGCGATTTCCGTACCTTTGTGGCAAGAACGGTGGAGGTATGTTTGCTGTCTCATTCTTACAACCTCTGACATAATTGCATATTAGAATTCACCGTGAAAATTAGCTTTTTCCTCTGTACAGGTGGTTTGTAGTTTGTGGGTTTTTGGTTTGTGGGTGGTGAGCTTTTTTGTCACTTCACACTTGTCCAGGAGGGTTGGAGCCATTCTGGAGTGTGGTGCTCTGCTTTGAGCTCTGCTCTGGAGTTTATTCTAACTTCTAGTTGGCAGATGCTCTAAAAGGACCATGAGGGATTAGAGTGGAACTAATGCACGTTGCCCTCCACCCTTCAGAGCCCTCTCTTTTGGTGTGAGTTTTTGAGAGGATTGCATATGGCTTGTAGTGCTAACTCAGAGCTTATCATAAAGGGCTAACTCTAGCTGGAAAGCAGCCAGTTCTGGCTAAAACCTTTATGCTATCTGCATGCTTCTGGGATAGATAAAGGCAACAAAATACACAATGTTTTGGTTTTTAGCTTTTCCCTTAAACAGAAGTTATGTTTAAATGTTGAGGAGATATATTTTTTCCCCTTATTTTCACCTCTTGAGATACTGGTTCAGAAGTGTACATGTGCTTGCCGCTAACTTTCTTGAGAAGATACACTTGAGAAGAACAAAAATGTGGGTTTCTTTCCATATAGAATAGGAATGGATACAGTGGAAGCTCAGTTGTGTTTTTGCCCACTGCAGCAGACTCTTTCTTATTTCTTTTTAGGTGCATTCCTGATACCCTATTTCCTCACTTTAATTTTTGCTGGAGTGCCACTGTTTCTTTTGGAGTGTTCCCTTGGTCAGTATACCTCCATAGGAGGCCTTGGAGTATGGAAGCTTGCTCCAATGTTCAAAGGTACAACATGAATTTGGATTAAGTGCCATTTGTTTCAAAGTTCCACAGAGTGACAGAGCAAGAATGTTTCTTTATACCTTTGTATTTTTACTTAAATTGTAGTTTTCTCCCTGAAGTGTAAGCAGCAGTTCTGAAACACACTAGGGTATTATTCATTCTCCTTTAAAAATAGCAAGACTGAGATGTTAGAATCTCCACAAACACACTTTTGAAATGTTGATTTTTCTTTTTTATTTTTTTTTTTGTTAGGAACATATAAAGACTGTTCCAAATAGCATTTTTAATCTAGCAGTATTTGTATGAGCAGGTATGGAACTCTGTTCACACTGATTTCCTAAACGTTGTTTCTAGTCAAGGTCACAGAGGTTTGTATCTTCTGTTGTGCTTTATTGAAAATGAAAGGCCAGACACTTCAAAGATGATGATTTTATACCAAATTGCTTAAGACAAGCTGACTCCACACTTAGATTTTTTAGGTAGTTTGAGGTTTCTCATTGTTAAAACCTCAAGGTTTTAGTCTAGATTCTGCACAGACCCACAAACCTCAAAAACTGTGCTTTTCACCCTCTATTCCTAAATCCTTTGACACTTAAGAGCTCTTGACCTGACTCCTGGGCCAGAAGAGGAGCAAGTTCCACACTGAGTTATAAATTACTTTGTGCAGCAGGACTGACAGTTAGCATAGGGTGAGGTGAAAGTTTGGTTGGAGAGAATTTTGTTCTAGGAAACCCAGAGGGATGAAGATGTTTCTCATATTTAAGTATTTTAACTTGCTAGAGGAAACTGTTGGCAGGGGGCACAGTGCAAAGTACAGATCCTGCCTTGCATTGTTCTGAGCGCTTACTCCTGTTTAGTGTCACGTGGCAACTGTCACCAGGCTGAGTATTGTAAAATATCTCTGAAGTCTCCACGTGGAGTAGAAGACAAGGCGCTGAAGAAATCCTGCCCTTTCTCTAGTCTGAGATGACGTAGTAGCGTTATACGAAGCATCAGGCGCTTAGATCTATGTACTAAACAAATAAATGGTCTTATACCCCATTTGTGTCCATCTGCCAGAAGTTTCTGTGGGATGGCTCTTTCAGGGAATTAACTGATTTAGCTCTTTGCCCTATAATTCAGAAATGCTTGTAAAACATGAATAAATTCATAGGTAGCTGAACTATCACTCACATTGGTGACCATTTTGTAAGAGCTGCAGCTCTCTGACGGACACATACAAACATTACTAAAAGTTACCTTGTGTTTCTTTGTATTTTCTTTGCAGGTGTGGGGCTAGCCGCTGCAGTCCTTTCCTTTTGGCTAAATATTTACTACATTGTGATTATTTCGTGGGCCATATACTACCTGTATAATTCCTTTACTACTGTAAGTGTGGGGGGGCGGAATTTTTTGTTGTATGTAAAGCAAAATGATATAGAGCGAGTCGATTGTTCTGTCTCCCTGCAAAGGTGTGAAGTTAACAGACAATGCTTAGTAATCTGTAGAAAAAGCTATTCCTTACTAAAGGAAAGCTATTTTGTAAAAATCCCTCCTTTTAACTTTTTTTTTCCTCCACAAGAAATGTAGAATGAATAAACTGTGAGGGAAAAAAAAAATCCATTCCAAGAATGCTAGCAGAGAAACATAATAATAGGTTATTTTGGAGCCACGGGCTCCTCGTTCTTCCTTATTTGTTTAAATTTCCTCATCTTAATCTTCAGAGCTGCAGCTGTTCCATCTGTACCCTTTTCGTTTCACTTATTATCTGTCTCTGCCCTTCAATGGTGAGCGTGCCTTCACAGACTTCGATCTCCTCCTCCTGGCAATGTGAATGGACGCTAGTGCCCCTTCGGCCTGGAGCCTGCAGGCCAGGCATTCCCCTGGGAACAATTCTAGTGGATGACTGATTATTTTTTTTCTTCAAGAGCAGCCACACAAATGTTAGTTCTCTGGGAAACAGTGTCACTGCACTGCGGTTTAATGATGGAGGGGTTTATTACGGATATCCCCATAGGATGGAAGGTCTGTGACTTGATTAGCTCTGAACTTCCATTCATTGTTTTTATTTTCACTTAGTTTTCTTTCCTTTTAACTTTATTTTTAGCTGCCTTTTTTTCCCCTCAAGGATGATTCATCAGCTGAGTAGCTCTTGTCTGATTTGTGGGTTTTGGCCATCTGAGGAAGCATTCTTACATAAGTCTCAGTAATTAATGCATTATTGTTCAGTTCTTGTCTCTTCTACAAAATTTGTCCGTGCTTGCTTGTTCTTGACTTCAAAGAATTGTCTCTTGACCGAATTTGCTTTAATTACTGTCTGGGAGTGACATGATCGTTTTTGTTTGTGATATCCTCAGATTTGTTATTGATGTGAAAGGTCAGTCATAGTCTGGAAATGGTGCACTGACCCATATTAGATGAATATTGACTTCTGATTCCCTTGAAGCATCTTATGCCTGTATTTAAAACACACAGTACTCCAAGAGAGGAGTTTCTAAGATTGGCCATCAGAAGAATATCTAAGCTGTATCTCAGTGAGACTCATTCTAATGGACATCATATAGAAACAGGCTCTGCTTCTCAGAACTTGTGAAAGATAATGTAATGGACACATGTAGAAGATGCACGTAGAAAATAGAAAGTTTATATGTTTCTCACTGTCCCCTGACCTGAGGGGGAAGTGGAAAAATCTCTCATCAATAACCATCACACCTTTATTACCTCTAGGGCAACAAGAGGTAACAGGACCTCCAGGAGGTCCTTTCTGCTGCACGTGCTTCTTGTAGTGCTCAATACACTCTCACATGCTGAAGCGTATATCAGAGCCCAAAGCATCTGGGCTGATAAATTAAAGAAAGGAAGAAATATTTTCACACCCCATTCACATATTTGACATGAATTTAAGTAAGTTATCTGGCAGATGTGCACCCCAAGGGGATCAGTGCACTGCAGAACTCCAGATATATTAGTTCTCTGCTCAACTGTTATTTCTACTAAAATGAGAGATACCTGAGTTAGTGTTTAATTGAAGTGTTTGACTGTTGGGTTTTTCCCTCTCTCTTTCTTAAATAGACTCTTCCTTGGAAGCACTGTGAGAACCCCTGGAACACTGACCACTGCTTCTCTAATTATACCTTAGCGAACACCACCAACATGACAAGTGCCGTGGTCGAATTCTGGGAGTAAGTTCATAATTTTTCCCTATATCCTTCCTGTATATATGCAAGGATCAACTTATTATCATTTGTATAGTATCATCTTCTGAATTTGTTGTCAGATACACCTTTCTGTTGGCTTATTCTAGACGCAATATGCACCAAATGACTGATGGATTGGAAAAACCAGGACAAATCCGATGGCCGCTAGCAATTACTCTAGCAATTGCCTGGATTCTGGTGTATTTTTGTATCTGGAAGGGGGTAGGCTGGACCGGAAAGGTAAGATTAAAAAGTATTGTAAATACCTTTCAATTCAAAAATGCCCATTTTACTCAGATATTCTGAAAATTCTTGAGGTAAGAAGCCCTGGGGACAGTTTTGCGGCAATAGGTCTGTGAACTATTTAATTTCTATCTTTCTTGAGTTGATGCGGCACCATGTTTTCAAAGAACTGGCTTTTCTGTAGCTAGGTGTGCTTTGCCAGTTATAAAATTGCCTTGAAATATGTCACCTTGTTCCTGGGACGAGTATTGTAGCTAGTTTGGATAGCAATAGAGTGAGGATGCAGTGCGTTGGCTTCAGGGAGAAGAACGCAATTGTTACACAGCTCTTGCTGGACTTACCTATGTCAGCAAGTGTTGAGGCTGCCCTGCGCATAAGAGCTGCTCCCTCCTCACGCTGAATGAGAGCCGCAGGTGGTTCTTACCACAGGCATGGGTGCATGCTCTGCTTCTTGGAGTCTGGCTGCTTTCTGAATGCAAAATATAATTTACTGATGAATTAAAGGAAATTACATTATTGACAGACCTTTCTTCAGGAATGAGAAGACAACAGCATCTGACATTGGCATAACAGCAGGAGGAAATCTTAGGGAAATGAAAAGCCACAGCCATGGGGCTTGGTAGGAACCAAAGACTTGGGTTATAACACCTCTCAGTTCTGGTCTAGAGGACTAGGATTTTTTCACACCAAAAGAAAGAATTGTTAACTTTTGACAAGGTGGTTGTAACTGTGACCCACTTCAAGCTGCATGTTGAACATGGCCTAGCTGAGCTCTTTTTGTTTCTCCTATCTGCAAAGAAGGTGGCAGGAAGAGGACTAGCATTGCTTCTTTGGAGTTTGACTTCACAGTGTGTTTTATAAAGGGCTTTTGAAAAGATAAGAGTGGGACCCTGCATATGATAATATAGGTGAGGAGAGAGCGTGAAAAATACAAGAGCAGCTGTCTGAGAGGTGGAGAAATAAAGTAACAGATGTTCTTCTACAGGTACTGGTGCCATGAACCTTGTGCTTTTGGGAGCTCCCCTTGTTGAACACAGGAAAAGGAAAGCATGAGCCCCTTGTGCAAAAATATCTTAACCCCCTATATTCCACCTTCAGGAAAATCAGCAAGAGCTGCCTGCCTTTAGATGTGGTGTTTAGGGAATTCTGCAGTAGGCACCCACCTTTCTATCCCAGGTTTTTCAGTTGCTAAATGCTTCAATTTTCAAAGTCAGCCTCAGTTGCTGCTACAGTGTTTTTAGAGAACAAATATTTTCTGAAGTGTTAACAAGTGCAGATCGTTCTTCCTTCCACACTTACAATGTCTTGTTTCTTCACATCAGGTGGTATATTTCTCTGCTACTTATCCCTATGTTATGCTGCTTATCTTGTTCTTCCGTGGTGTAACACTGCCTGGAGCAAAGGAAGGCATTTTATTCTATATAACTCCCAACTTCAGTAAGCTTTCAGACTCTGAGGTAAATATTCAATCTTTGTAAGCAAAAGTTTCACTACTAACTGTTCACCTTTCAGACATATGACCTGCTCCTCAAGTGCAGAAACAGATTTTTAAAAAAATTATTTCCTGCAATCAGGTTTGGCTGGATGCTGCCACACAGATTTTCTTCTCCTATGGTTTGGGTCTTGGTTCACTGATTGCCCTTGGAAGTTACAACCCTTTCCACAATAATGTTTACAGGTAAGCAGATGGCTGCACATGCTCCAGTGGCACTTTCCTGTCTCAGATGGAGCTGGACTCTCTCTTTCTCTGTGCTGTATCATTGAAATAAAGCGTAGTCTTGGATCCTAATAGCAAATGTTATGTCTAACTAGGAGTGAGATGTGTAACTGTGTTTACACTAATGAGAGAAACAGTATGGCTTGTCCAGCATGAAATGGAACACAAACTGTGAAATCCTGAAATCTATTCACTTTAAAAATGGTGACTATCTGATGAATAGTATCATTGCTTTACCTACTGCTTAAAGCACCTTACCTTTATTTCAGGGACTCCATCATAGTGTGCTGCATAAACTCATGCACAAGCATGTTTGCTGGCTTTGTCATCTTCTCCATTGTGGGATTCATGGCTAATGTCACAAAGAGGCCCATTGCAGATGTTGCAGCATCAGGTATCCAAAATTTTTTTCTCTAAGCTGGTCAGTGACATCAATTATTTTTCGTTTGTACGTTATATCCAAGTGCTTCGTGTAATTGCTCAAAATCTCTCCCTCCAAACATTCCTTGCCTCCCTGCCATTGCAGAAGGGAGAGCATCGTTTCAAACCTCTCAAGGCAGCACCAGCAAAATCCTTTCATGTCAAGCGGACTCTGCCTGCCTGCCTTCTGCTCTCAAACCTTCTGTGTGGAGAGTGGTTGGTCAGAGACTCAGCTTGGGCTGACACAATGACTACTCACGACTACTACTTACGGAGAGTGCAGTTACAAGAGGAGGCAGCACAGTTCGCGGCTCCAGTGCTTAGTGGTGACATCAGATTATGAGCCTCTTACTGCTGAAATTCTTAAAAAGCTAACTGAAAGGAGGAATCATGGTCATTATGATTTTGGAACCTATGTTCATAAATTCCATTGGTTTTTAAACTCCTTTTCCTGCTTCATGAGGTTAAGCCCTTTGAGGCAGATCCATTTCTCACCTGCTCAGACCTACAGCTGTCAGTCAGTTTTATGGGACCCTTTATTATGAAAGTCATTTTACTTAGAGCATAAGATGTGCGTGGAAGAATTTTGCATTCTTTGCAGTTCCTTCCCTTTCTTCCAGATGAAAAAGCTTAAAGCAGCAGAGCAGATGGTTGCCCTGACCCAGCTGGTGTACCAGATACTCACTTAGCAGCTCTGGCCACGGGGAGGGATCTGATAACTGAAAGCTTGGTTGGAAGTCACTGGTGGACAAAATATTTCTCACTATACTAGCAAACATATTCCATTGATGAAATATTTCCTTAGTTAGAAAAGTAGGGAATTTAAGCCCTAAAAAAATAATCCTCAATAAATCACACATACAAAGAAATTAGGAAGGGAATTACAGCGGCATAAGCTGTTGTCAAAAAAATACTCTGGAAAGTCAGCGGTGCGTGAAATAAGCATTTTGGATTTATGTATTTGATACAGATATAACTATATAAAGACTACACCTGCAAACGGAGAAATATTTTTGTGTCATATCAAGCTCCCAAATACATTTTAAGGTACCTAAGATAATTGACTTCTGAAAGATGCGCATCACCTCCTGGGGCCACTAATTGCAAAGGATATTTGGAAATTTAACCTTTAAACTACAGCTTCTATTCCTCCTAGCAACCTCAGAAACCAGTGCTTTATTTTACACCATGAGACACATTGTTTTGTGATCTTCTGTACAGCTTTTTAAAACAAACAATATTATATTGGCTATTTCTAGCAAATAATTGTTTCAGAAATCTGCATTGCATTTACTTTGGCAATTCAGGTGTCTCAGGCCAATCCTTCACTGCGTTCAAAGCTATATATTTCCAACTATTTGTCACAGACAGACTTACTTGTAATGAAAACTGAAAAAAACAGATACCCCCCCTTAGGTGAGACACACTAATATTTTTCCTGTGACTATTTAGTTTGTTACAGGTTTCCCTCTTACCCTGACAACAGCTGGCTACCAGCTATGCCATGGCAACAAAAAGAACTCCTTTTTTTTAGTGAGAGTTTCATGAAGAGTTTCATGTTCTCCTTCCCCACCAGAAGTTAGTAGGATCACATATGAAAAGGTTTTCCTACTCACAACTACACAGTTTATTAAAATGTGTATTTTAAGATAATTAATGGAATGGAATAGGAAATGGGAATATTATAAATGCTGGAAAGTGTCTTCTCCATTTCTGAGCTTTCTTTGTTTCTTTTCTGAACTATGTGGTGGAAAGCAGAAGATGACGGCTATCGGTAACTCCTTGAGAGGGAGAGAAAGCTGATCAGTACCTGAAGATGTAATCCTAGCCAAGGATAACCCTCCCTGCCTTTGCTATACAAAGGTGTCTCTAAGGAGCAGCTTCTGAGCTTCATCGAGCATTTTGCTTGCTTGGTTGGTTGGATTTGGGGTTTTGAGGTTGTTTTTAGTTTTGTTTCGATCGGTTTGTTTGAAAAGCAAGATACACACGCTGACTTCTTGATCAGTGAACACCAGTTAAGCTGAAATCCCTGGTCAAATCCTGCACCCATGGCTGAGTCATTCAAATCAACCTAAACCCAGTGCATCAGCAGGAGCAAATCATCACCAGAGCAAATCAATCACGTTGACATATTCTCTCCTGTTTCTCCTACCAGGCCCTGGACTGGCATTTCTAGCTTATCCGGAAGCAGTGACACAGTTACCAATTTCTCCTTTGTGGGCAATACTGTTCTTCTCCATGTTGCTTATGCTCGGAATTGACAGTCAGGTAAAACTGGTGTAAAAACGGATAACACAGACATGTTTCCTGCAGCTATATGGTACAAGGTTGGCCTCTCACCGTGTATTCTGCACTGCCAGCTGTCAGTGGTGCAGTATGGTTCCCGGAATAATCAGATCAATAATAGGAGGTAATAAGGAGAGGAGAGAGGTTCAAGGAGCCTGGGATAGTAAAAAACCTGGTACTGTGACACTTTCCCTATTTCATGGACTGTTGGAAGCATATATAAAGTGTGCAGAAAACTTATTCTGCAGACAAGAGGAACTTCTTTGAAATCTTAACTGTTCAATCACAATATTAAAAACACCTTTGCGATGCTCATCAATGTAGGAGAGAGTGGGATGTGCTTTACGAGATTGAGATGCCATGACTAGTTCTGAAAGGCAACTTCGGAACTCACCATGTGGAGCAAAAAAAGATGCAGCACACATTTAGTTTTAAGCATATGAAAGTCAGGAGCAAATCTGGGAGGCGGTAGGCTCGTTACTGAGGACATTCTGCACCTTGGTGCGTTCTGAAATCACTTCCCAAGGGTAAAGACCAAGACTTTATTGGTTCAGGCTTTAGCTAAGAGTTTTATGTAGATGGTATCTGACAACTGCAAATGAATGGGAAGGCACAACCTAGAGGTTCTGCAAATTCAAATAAGAAATTCTTCAGAGTTACTTTCTGGATTAAATAATCAAGTCGTGTAATCATTATGAAAAAAAGTTTATTGCAAAGTGAACAAAAGAGCACACAGAACAAGAAAAAGCACTTCACGTGCTTGAAAGGACTATGTCCAACAAAAACGTTTGTTAATTGGTCATAATTTTTACACAGATAGTAACTATATTGCAAAGCACTAAAGAAAACACCCCGTGTCATTTTGCAGAGTGTACTTTGAGGACTTTGGGAAGTCTTGTCTGGCTGCTGAAATGTTTGGTCCTTTGTAAGTGAGCAGTCAGAGGCAGATGAGTTAATCACCCTGCAATCGGTTGCCGTTGTCAAAAAGCCCCGTGCGGGTGTCAGCACGGTCTTCATAGCGCAGAAAGGCACGTGAGAATTACCAGCCTAGTACTGCACTTGCCTGTCAGTAGAGAAATTCCATAGTTTTATATAAACCCAAGTTGGCTTCAGTCTGTGAACCAAAACACAAAAAGACCAAGACGGCATTTTATCCTGCAACATGAAAGGAAGCTGGAAATGGATGTTTTCTATTTCTTTGTTTTTCAATAAGCTTCAGGCTTGACATTAAATCCAAGTGCTCAATCTGGAGGGAATCTGCTGTGAAATTAATTGGGTCAAAAATATTCTTGAAAGAACTTGTCTCTAGGCAACTAACAGCTGAGGAAGGTAGCCTAATATTATTTAAAAGAATATATTTTGACAGGCTTGCATGCTTTCTTCATTTTCGCTCTGTCAGCGAAATGTTCCACACACTATAATTTTTAGGAACTGTAACTGTTGGTTAAATTCTGACTGCACTGCTGGAAATTAATAAAACTCTACCGACATGTTTTTTATTATTTCGGCCTTCATAATGATAATGTTTATTTTGAATATATACATACAGAAGAAATCTGAGCTATGGCCATGCTTTGCATTTGGAGGAGCACATACTCAGCAAAAATCTTTTCTGGAGATACAAGAAGTATTTGATTTATTACATATGAGAATCAATCTTGTGTCTTTAACCTTCACCCTGAAGCAGTAATCTGATTAGACTTTCTGTGTCTGTTGGCTTTCATGTCTGTTAGTAAATGAGAGAAAGAAGAAGTGTAGGTTTTTGAAGGATGTGAGGGTTAAAGCCTTCAGCTGTAGGTGTGTCATCTTCTACCACAAGAATGAGCACTCTATGTTCATGAAGCTCATGCCGGAGGTCACAGATTGAAATTTTTAGTGGTTTTCTAGCTGGAAATCTTTCTGCACAGATATTTTTAGGCAGAAGAAAAGGATATTGAGAAATACTGCTTCCATTGAAGACAAGTGAATTTTCATTTATCATTTAACGGTGCAGCCTTAGGCCAGTGATGGGCACTATTGAAAACTCCTCCCCTAAATGTAATCCTGCTGCTGTACTGCATTGCCCTGTATTTTATTTCTAACTTTACTTGCAGTTCTGCACTGTGGAAGGATTCATAACAGCTTTAGTGGATGAATTTCCGAAGTTACTGCGCAACCGAAGGGAAATCTTCATTGCTGTTGTCTGCATTGTTTCCTATCTGATAGGGCTGTCCAATATTACTCAGGTGCGTTCTGCAGAAGGATGTGGTCCTGTGGCTGATGTGCAGCATCCAATTTATTTCTACTCCTGCTCCATTCATGGCAAATCATCAGCGTGGCAGAAATCTGTCACCAGCGCTATCTAAAGACTTCAGGCAGCAGACATTGAGTGTAAAAATGTCTGTAGTCCATGTGTGCAGTTTGTCCTACTGGTGACAATACACATCTGTCTTATGGTCCAAAAAGGGGTAGCTAGAGATGTTCTCAGCTGCTTCCTGTGATCTGCTAGACTGCAAACTATCTGAGGGAAATGCACAAAAAGGAGTGAAATTAAACCAGTTAATTCAATTCTAGCAGTAATCTAATTTTTGTCTGTATTGACCTCAAGCATTATAAGACATTAACTTGTTTACTTTAATTAATTTACATTAATATGTCCCTAACCGATTTGCCGCTGTTAGTTTGTAGCTTGCATTTTAATCTTTCTTGAAGCTGGAATCCTTACTTTTTATTTTTAACACTTTCTTCTTATATATTTTAGGGTGGAATCTATGTGTTTAAGCTTTTTGACTACTACTCTGCCAGTGGAATGAGTCTCTTGTTCCTTGTATTCTTTGAGTGCATCTCGATATCCTGGTGCTATGGTAAACAATGAGTTTTTGTTTTCTCCATAAGTTTTGCACATCATAAGGATACTTCATCTACTGATTTGTTCTTTTGTGTGTGCACATGCTGAGGGCGGAACTGAAATTGCCCTTGTTTTGTATTTGCTTAATTTCACTGAGGACTCAAAGCTGGCTTGTGGGAGGTACCTGGCATTCCCTGAAACACCCTGTGCATAAGCCTGGAAGTCACTAGATGGCAAATGTTTCAGGAATACCAAATACATGACGTATCCCTCCTTTTTCCCATTCCCTTGGATCTTCAGAGAGGTTAGGTACTGCTGCTCTCAAGATAATGACACAGGTCTTCTGGACTTTGTCATGTCTCATTTCCAGAAATGACTCTTGCAGTTCAGAGCCAGGCTCGTTAGTCAGTTGTATCTCACATAATTGCCCTAAAATATCCAGAAGTCTGGATTGATGAGCTCTGGGTAAAAAGATTTCTGAACCCCTGTCATATTCTTGCCAGAATTTGTGCGCTTGACCTTAGTTCTGCGTTAGCTACACGGAACTACAAGCACCTACTGCCGCGATTGCTAAGGCACTTCAGCTTATGTTACAAACGTGATTCAGAGCTAGGTAATGAGTCCTTTGACGAGCTTAAGAGAATGGAAGAGCATTTTATGGGGGAGAGATACTGCTCATGAATCCAGCAAATACAGATGGGAAAATACACCACCTAAATAATGAAGAAATCAAAGTTATAAATGATATGATAGACATATAACTGGTTGCTAATTAATTAAATATGATATAGGAGAATGAGAGAAAATGATTTCTGATGCTTATGAGTTTGCACATTTCTGTCCCATTCAGATCCGTGAAAAGTTGTGTTGGGGTCTATATAGAGCTTCCAGATATACCTCAGCATTTATGACAGTGTCTCTCAAAACCACTGAGCTTTCAATTGAATCATTATCTCATATGTTTCTACACTTTTTCTTATTTCTGTATTTAGGTGTTAATAGATTTTATGACAACATCCAAGAGATGGTGGGATACAGACCCTGCATCTGGTGGAAACTCTGCTGGTCATTTTTCACTCCTATCATTGTGGCAGTAAGGAACAAACTTTTATTATATGATTCAAAGGATGTAACTGAGGTGGCCTATGTACTACAGCGTTGTCACTTCCACCCCCACAGGTTCATATTAACTCTGACCTCATTCCTTTTTTAAGGACTTGAGCAATTCCACTGAAGGCAATAATCAAAAATCCAGTGTTGTTAGAGGAAGCCTGTGCCCCTAGAAAAGAAGTTTTGCATAATTTCAAAATTTGTATTAACCCTCAAAAACCAGTAACTAGTCAAGAGTTTGACTGGCAGAGATAGAAAACTGTAAGAAAAAAAAATCGACCATTTCTTGTATTCTTAGATAAAACGTAGCAATCTCTCTAAAGTCTGAATCTTCCATATGCACAGAAATGCCTGCATTTTGTAAACGGAATTCCTTCACAGGCGCTGTGCTGGTAGCAGACTAGGATTATAAACTGATGTTCTTCTCTCATGGGATTCTGTGGCACATATTACTCATTTTATACTATGTTGCTACGAGATACAACAGTACAGTTTCCTCCCAATTCTAAACTTTATCCAGTTAAGTCCACACAGTACGTTCTGAAATAACAAGCAAAGAAATGTAAATCTGTTACTCATAATGTAGTCAACCCCGACACAATGTGCAAAACTGGAATAAGGAGGCACTGTCACACATGGCACAATACTTCTCGCTCACTGCTATTTCTCTGATTTTACCGTGTAAGTAGCCACAGAAAAGCAAACAAAGAGCGCTAAAGAGAAGTGTGTTTCTGCTGAGGGTTCCTTATTATCTCGAGCCAGATGAAGATGGCTTTTGTTTTTCTGAAAACAAGTGTTCAGGAAGGCATAAAACACGTGGTTTGGTTGTTTTAGTGGTGTAATAGAATGCTGACCAACATTGCATGTAAAACTTAGTAGACTTCTGTCTTGTAAAGCT